AATGCCTTGAATTAGAAACTTTTATGTAAATATAGTAGTGCATTTCGGTAACTGTTACGTGTCATCCCCAGAACGTTAATTTTAACCATCAATTTTTAAAAAATTGACTTTTTCCTCCAGCTGTCGCAGTTTAATTAAACCTACAATAGTCAGAGAAACATTATTATTCCTAGATTCTCGATGGCGTCCCATGATTTCGAATATGACACGACCAGGATGAATTAGAATATGGATATTACCCAAGAGATGTCGAGTACCAAGGAACTTCTGTTACCCATTTCAGTTACCATTAAGGATGCCTCCCTTTCAGAGTCATTAAACTAATGCCCTGATCAATATTTATTTCCTATCCTCCTCCTAACGAGTATCGTGTTTTTATCCACCCACAATGGTTACATTCTGTTATTAATATTTCTATTTCTATTTCAGTACACGATAATAGTTTTACAATTTCCGTGTCATAAATTGTGATTCCTTTTGAATAATTTGGAAGATTTCTGATCGAAATAGGTCGTGCAATTTATGTTAAAAGGCCCCCTTTACAAGTTGTAAACGATTACTCATACCTTTGATACGTGTTACAGTTTTGCAATGTATTTGAGCTTTGTATACATTTTATGTTCACATGACATATGTCAAAATCCATAAGTTTATAAACAACCTTCCCTGCAAATTACACAATCGTTCCCCTGAATTTGTTACGAAAAACAATTTCATAAACCTCGATCTGGCACCAAACGAACGATGATCGGAACGGAAAATGGAGATGCTGTTTCGCTATTCGTCCATTAGGAATAAAAGGACGCTGCACGTAATGAACGATAGATTGGTGCAAAATTATTAATCGAAATCAGCGTGCGTCGCCGAAGTGTGGCAACGTGCGTGACAGTGCGTGAACAGCCGCGACGACAAAACGCAGAATTATTTAGAATGGAATTAGCTCGCTTGCATTTTTCTGACATGTTGAAAATGCTGATTTCGCGAAGCTATTTACGCAGCTGCGATCAGATGACAGAGAAATTAATTTTTGGTTTTCGTCGAGCGAGCATGTAAATCTCCAAAGGATAATCCAATCCTTGGATATACAGTTAATTCTGCCATTAATAGCCATACGGAAACTTTCTGTTGGTCGAGGGCGCGATTAAATGAAATTTTTATAAAAATATGATCTTTAAATGACTCGTAGAGGAAAGATAAAAATGGTTTTAAATAGAAAAATCGAAAGAATTGACATGTTCTACTAATCGTGAAAAAGAAAGAGGATGATGGAGGGATGGAGAAGGTGACAGACGTTGGTTACAGTGGCAGAGGGCACGGCCTGGTGAAATTCGTCGCGCTCGCTCGAGCTGCGATTTGTCTGCCCAATTTCACGGCCCTTTTGGGGAAAATGGGAAAATCACCCGGCTCTCGACTGCAGTGCCGAGTGTGGGAAATAGACCGCGTTAGAGCACCGTTTATATTTGGCCATCTCCTTCCACGCATGTGCGGGAACTCGTTCGATTTCTGTGAGATCTCTTCTAATTTTGCCGTAGAATTTATTACCACTGCCTCTGATACATAGAGTGATCCTAAAATGACACATCGATTAAAATTAAATACTTGAGACATATAATACTTCAGCAAATCGATAAAGGATGAAGAGTATCTGGCTTCAAGACATATCATGAGAAATCGGCGTCAAAATAGACAAGCCTGCTCGTTCTGAAACACTTGATTCGTCAAACTGTCGATATCGTGGACTGAATGATATGAAAACGACGTATAAATCAATTTTATCTTTGTCACTTAGTTTGCTGACTGTATAGACTCAACTTCCTGGACAATTCTGGAATACTAACAAAGTGTCAGGTACGAATCAAATATTCTCTAGATCGTGGAATAAGAAGTTTGCTTGTGGAACTCGAGTAGGTGAATCCTTTCATGGTGAAGGATGTTATTAATTATGCTATAGCATACCTTAAAAATGAAAGGAAAGCATACCTCTGATACGTAGGGTGATAAAATGGCATCGATTAGAATTAAATACTTGAGACATGTAATAATTTAACAAATCGATAAAGGATGAAGCGTATCTAGCTTCGTGACATATTACGAGACTTTATCAATGTTCTCCGTTCAGTTCTCCCTCTTTGATGCCGCAGGATGCCGGACGAAGTGCATCAGGGTGACACGAGGCCAAGCTTTCAGAGAATCGAGGCGCAGCCGTAATCGAGTTATCGATGTATTCCGTTCCATGCCACTGACCGTTCCAGAACGGATATCCGCGGCGAGGGATTATTAGTTTTCCGCTTTCAGTGCGGCTCCAGCGTTTTCATCGAGCGGCATAACAGCGGCAACAGTACGTCTAGGCCGTACGTTACGCTCTAGGGGAGCCGCTTCTCAGTCCTCCTGTAGGCGTGGTTGAAATCGGGAGATGATTTATCCTTTGCGAAGCGGTAACTGCCGAGATCCTCGGCTAAACGACCGCGGTCCTTCGTGTATTAACCGTAATGCACTCTGCCGTTGCCATTGTGCGCACTGTATATAACTATACCCAGCCACCCTGCCCTGGGCTTGCAACCCCTCATCTGTTACTCCTTCTTTATCTCTGTCTGCACGTCTGGCCCGGCCAGCTTCCTCCTCGTCGCGTTGACCTAACTTTTCGACTTCGACTTTCAGGATCTTGTTCTCGACGTCTAGGGTAGCTTCCCCTGGTAATCGGAGAGCTCTAATCTGAAGCAACTTCTACACAAGACGACGAATCGCGAACTGTTCATGTCTTGATTCGAAGAACCATTCATATTTTTATGTAATAAGAATAAATGCTTGCCTGATTTGGCATAGTTTGCACCTGGAGTACGAAAATGAAAAGAACTGCTAGGACAAAATTAAGTTTGTTGGTCTTGCACAGAGTATAATCACTTCTTTTGCTATCGCATTAAAAATATCCCAATTAGAAATTGGAATCATGGATTTCATTGTCCTTAATAATTTATTAGATATTTCAATGGCCAATATAATTGTTGTAAGTAACTAGAGCTATTCAAAGTCGTGTGATATTGATAATTTTTTTAAATTCACAAGTTGTGGTTTCCTTTTGTTGCACAAGTGCAATATGGAATAAAAAAGTCCTCGAATAAAAATAATTGTGAACGGTAGGATCGGGCCTCTAGGTCTGGCCTCGTAATTTATTTACGACGCAGTCGATAATGTAACATCGCACCGGTTGCAAGGTTTCATGGAAGAACATTGTCGTCCAATTATTGAATTTAAATTGTTACTGTGCAAATATTAGGGTACAAGGACGAAATTACAACGACGATACTCCACCCTTGATACACCGAGCCGATGTTTCGTGCACTTTGTAACCCGGTGAACCCCACCTCTATTGTGTCCCGTAATTCCCTTCCCCTGGCGCGATATCCCAACCTCAAGTCACTGCACGATTCTGTTCAATCCACTTCCTTCTTTAATGCGCGTGAGATGCATGAACTTATTGACATTCGCGTAGTCGTAAATTTTGATCGATTAGGATCCACGTCATCCATACGTTTGCTTCCTACAAAAAGGACGACGAAAGCGTCGAGTTGGGTCATGGACGTTTCAAATTTTATTTATAGAAAAAGTAATATCGTTAACGTGGATTCTTTCTGCAACTTGCTGAATGGTTTGCTTATTTTTTGTTTAAATATCAATACAATTGTATAGTACTTTACCGAAAAATCCTAAGCAGTTGATTCAATTATTAACTCAGTTACTAATGCCAATATATTTTGAGTTTAACTAATTACAACTCAAACTAGAATTCACACAGCCCTCTGAGGCATTCGAAACTCAAAAATCCCCAAGTAACCACATCGATAAACGATTTAGCACCCTCTGGAGCTTGCTAAAACTGATCAACAGCGTATCAAACTATCCCATGACAAAGAGAGCAATCGCGCAAGGGGGTAGAAACCCAATTACACGAGTCACGCCCCCGACAAATTTAATCAGAAGGGGTCTTCTGTCTCGACGATCACGTCTTGTACCGATATATTCGTTCCCGACTCGCACGAATCGGTGTCTGGCCTGTCACCATTTTTTCCAATCGCTCCACTAATCGATCCTCGAGTTGTTTTGACAATTCCGTCGAGCCTGGTTCCACGAAGGGGTGGCAGCGTCGTTCTCGCTGGTTGTGTTCGACCCCTGAACGAGATCAGTGTCTCCCATGGGATCACCTCAACGTGGAAAATTGCACCCTGTGCTACTCACGTATTTTCGCAGGCTGCGGCGCGTGCTGTCCCGTCTTTCAAGGGGGTCCCATGCCAAAAGCTGGCGTGAACGCCTCGTAGGCGTGACCCCATATGCCACTTTCGGCCATGCGATCTAACCGCTCGTAGGTATGCATTGACGCATTGTACGGCTAATTTGTCCGAGGGCTCCTGGTCCTGGCCGACTGAATGCCGCGAAGCGACGCGCGAGGCAGTTTACGGTAGAATTTGTGGAAAAGATTTCGTTAGGAGTGACACAATAGTGAAATTTTATTATTTGGAATATTTGGAAAATAGTCCAAGGGACTTGCGAAATTAATTTGACGTCGTATAAAAAGTTACACTTCAGTAAAATCAATTGGTAACTCCTTTGACATTTATCAATTCCATGCTGCCCCTCCCCCCCTACAGTACTCTCCCTATGTAATTTACGGTTAACTTGTAATAGGCATCTTTCAGACACTTTGTAATATCCCATCGAACTGTCACGGAATCAAACGACGGAAGTACAGTTCCGAAGACGTATCACTTACCTTTTAGACGATGGGAATTCGAACACACCTCGCAATCAGGCCAAACTCCTCGTTAGTACGGCTAGCGAGTTTAATTCGCCATAAACGTCGGATAAATAATGAAGTCGAGGACACGGACTATCGACATTTTGATCCGTTCCCTCGTATAATGGTCTCAGCGGCGGGAAATAGAGCTGGGAAACGGTGGCCTGGTGTACATTCAGAAACGAACGATGTTCCATGTGATATTCGCACGTTTTATTGCCATCTCGATATACACAAGACACTCTGCTCGCTTGCTGCTTCATCGCGACGTATCGCGGCCGCGATGCAGCTGCGATAATCGCACGGCTGATCGATAGAACGTCGTCGTAACGCTGCTGTTCCTCGGTGGAGCCTCGAGTTAATGTAAATTATCTACAAGTACGGCCTAAGCCGAATACAGTCTACGCCAGGGGTCGGCAACCTATGTACCACAGTCGCCAAATTGACGCGAAGTTATGCCAAATCTGACGGGAATGCGATACTGCGATACAAACGGGGAATTGAAGATCAAACGGTGATGGGAAACGGCTCGGGTATGAAGTGAAGTGCTTGAAGAGAGAAGAATGGGTGAAGGTCGTGATTGTAGAGTGTGTCTCTAAAAATGGTATGATTTAATATTTCTAGAAAGATGACAAGGTTCTTTGCAGAATTTTAATCCACTCCTTTTGTTGATGTGATTCTACGTCACGGGATTTAATATAGATGCGTGTTGATATTTTTCGATTGATTTATAAGATTCTTCTATAGTCTCAAGTTTCATGATTTTTCACAGAGCATTTGAATATAAAGAGAAAATATGAGATCAAGGTGCACACGTCCATTTATATAGAATTTGATAGGTGATCGTTTTGCGTTAGTATCCGACAGTAGTTATATGTGTGAGCAGCTTCTTTAAAAAATGAAATATAAGAACAATTTAGAAACCCAGCTGATTAACGATCATTTAAATTATTCTTTCAGCCTGTATTTGATATTGAAAAATTTTAACGAAATCTATCAACATCAGCGTTGTACTAATTGATATGATTAATGACTTCATGACACAAATGCTACCCAAATGAAATAAACATAATTAATTCAAATTAATGTATGATAATTATTATCTTCGACAGTATTGCATTTAAGCCAAAATGATAAGGAAAAGTAACAGATTATTTACATTTCTGAATTTTTCTTACAGTCTCAAAGAGTTGTTAATTTTTGTAACCACATTGTCTTAAACATCATCGATAATTCATTAAATATTATTATTGCTATCTACATTTATTAACTATAGATGAATTTCTATCATAATCTATACAACTCACTGTCATGGCCCCTGTCAGGAAGGAGGTTGCCAACTCCTGGTCTATGCAGTACGCTGTGCCGTCGCTATTTACAAGGTTCTCTACGAATACAATTATTTACAACCCTTGTGCTATAAAAAAATCGGGCGGTTTGGAGGTCAACTCGATGTGAATTGCAAGGGAAGAATCGTGATCGGTAACATATTTGTTGCTCGAGTGTTGCCAAAGAAACTTCGGTTACACTTGAATAGTCTACGAGTTGCGTGTTTCAAATCCCTCAAACTTGGAGAATCTGTAGTATAAAGAAATTGCATTATTTGTACCGTATCTGAGTTATTAAACTAATGTTCGTATACTGCTGTTCAATAGTTTCTTTCAAGAATATGAAAGTTACAATCGCATATCGTTTGACACGCTCCTGAATAAATCAAATGCACTTACTACTCGAGCAACAAAGTAACCGGAATCAATATTTCCACAGCTAGCTACTGGACAGTCACACCTGTCACGGCTAACTTCACAGCACACCTTAGTGCAGCTGTTGTCCTCTTCAATCCATCCTCGCAATTCGACATCACAATTTAATCAATTCTTCGTTACTCCCAGTAATATTTTTTTGTCTTTAATACGAATTCCTCAAACTGGACACTCAACGTCCTTTTCGTACCTTCAACTGGCAGGCGTGATCGGTAATACCATTTTCGGAGTGCTACAGAAACTCTATCACATCCCTTAGTCTTAGAGTCCGCAACAATCACTGGTTGCTTCAGAGCAGGGATTGCAGCTATGATTGGAACGTTATGCAAGTAACATTGACAAATCCATTCATGAACATTACCCATGGCTCCTGCAAATTACAGTAACCATCCACAGACAACCCTGTGCAAACCTCGCAACCCCTGCTCCAAAGCCATACCCTCCCTCGTGTTTATCATCGTATAATCGCTGTTCAATTAACAATCGATTTCACAGTCCACTCAGCAGCGTTCACTACCTGCCAGAAGAGCTGAGTCCACCCCGATGAGACGGTACAGTGAACGCTCTTAGGCCAACTCCGACACCAATCCCCACACCGCTGCTCAGTGGTCCTTGCACCTGTCCGCTCAGGTTAATAGACGAGTTGACCAATCCGAGAGCATCGCCTAGGACCGAGGACGACGACGTTCCAGACGCTGGACTGTCATTAGCTGGCCTGACTCTGGGCGGCCTGGCACATTTCTCCAAGTGATGATGATGAGATCTAACCGCCAGTCGACTGACGTGCACAGGAATAGGAACTACGATTCTTGTTCCATTTCCAGAATGCGGACCAGCGGATCCGTTGTGCCTGTTGGAGACTCCAGCAGTTGCCATGCTGGTCGCGCCAGATCCGACTCCGCCACCGCTCAAGCCAGCCTTCACCCTTTTCCACTTGGCTCGACGGTTCTGGAACCAGATCTTCACCTGAACCTCCGACAGCTTCAGGGCGTGAGCGATGTGAGACCTCTCGGTGAGACTCAGGTACTTTTTCGCGTGGAATTCCCGTTCCAGCTCCAGTAGCTGCTCCGACGTGAAGGCTGTCCGCCTGCGTCTGGCTTTGTTGTTGTTGGACCCCGTCGCTGAGCTGCTCTGCCCGTTTTCCAACGATCCTCCTGGGCTCACGTTGCTCGATGCGTTACTGGACATCGCGTCGGCCACGTCGTGGCCATCACCAGCGACGCTCAGCCCACCGCTCTCGTCCTCGCTCTCCGCTGACGCCCGGCCGTTCTCAGACCCTGGAAAAATAAGACAGTGAGTTTATTTATCACTGTGATGTTTTTTTCGAGTATATGATCGACTAATTCTGCGAAGAAAATGTTACGAAAATGATCTACCCTAGAGAAAATTAAATACAAAAGCAACAATCTCCATGAAACGGTAGTGTAATCATCCCAGTATGGCGGGTAACTGGATATATATATATTATATGATGGGAGTCGGTGTTCTGCAAGTCGTTGCGAACTTTTAATCTCACATATATAGTACTGAAACTCTCGCCGCTTAGTTATTCTGTTTAAAGTGTCCATAGCTCTTCGTCTTCCATAAAGCACACTTTCGACTCATCCGTTGCTCATGAATACGTTAACCGTCGCGTCATTAAGTCATTGAACGATTGCATCGGACTCGATGGAAACCGATTAACATCGGTATAGTTAGAGAACAAAAAAGATTTAATATGCGGAACGTACGAGTCGTTTTGACCTGGAGCGTAATGTTTCTGGATCGAAGTTTCGCATTGTTCCTCTATTATTTTCCACGTACGCCGTTCTTTTCCCTCTCTTTCTTGCAGGCCAGGTGCATGTCGCGCACTTGCCTTAGACGATGCTGAATAAAGTGACATTAAATTTCAACTTCAACCACTTTCTGCTCGATACAGTCATTGGACGAATAAAGTATTAACGGTGTAGGCAACGTACCGCAAAACAACAACAACGAAGTGGAAAGCACAGATAAATGAAATCTGTGCGGCTAATAAAAGCAACATTAATGAAAGAAAAAACGTTGAAATCGTTGAAATCAATGTATAGAAATTTATATGGAACGTTTATCGATTGAATAATGAAATTTTTATTTGCTCGTTGTGAAAAATTTAGTTTTATAATTAAATTTTAATGTTTATTTGACTAATGATAAATAAACAGTTTTTTTTTTTTATTGTGTATGTGGATTAAAAGTTGTTCATTTATGGTGGATAGCTTGCATAAGGAATAATGGCAAGAAAAATTTCTATTCGTCGGCTCATATAGATGGAACCAGAACTTAAGATGGTGTGTATACTATCGACAAGCCTATTTATAAAAAAATCTATTGACTTGCTCGGTTATGTCACGGAAGCGGTGATGTCAAGTCGATAAGCTGGACTCTACAAATCTTATATTCTAGAATCATTCACATAACATGATAACGTGGTTATGATATCAAATGTAAACCGAATGATTCGATTAGTATTAGACCAGACGCGAACAAATCTAATAATATCAAACGTGTACTGTTGTGCAGTAACACCTACAACCAGCCATAATCTTCAAACATGTCGACACCTGTCTCGAAATCAGTTACTTCGTATTTTCTGAAAATTCCGTTTAGTCTACAATTATAGTAGAAGTTTCGTAAAATAAATAAAACTCTATATTGTACTATTTTCTATGTTAAATAAATAAACTAATTTATTTTGATCGTAAGAGCCCTAAAATACTTTACCAAACGCGAACAGTTCTTAAACCGCAAATTTTTATCTTTGAAAGTGCCACACAAAGATGAACGCCTTCAAAGAAAAAAAATTGTAATTTCAACTATGTATTGTAACTAGCAGAACAAGAGCTCTTGGTTTCCGCTTAAACTCGGACCAACTCTTCAAATACTTCCGTGTAACGAAGTTCTCCACTCCCGTTTCGTAATTGCAATTAAACGGTAAAGTCTGCAGTCGTCGCAGGTGGACTTCGCGTAGCCTGGAAGTTCGACTTGTTTAATTCGCAGTTATCGCAACTGTAAATTGAAGGCACGCGAATGTTACCACACCGACAGATAGCCGTGACTTCCCGAGTTTATAGCTTCCCTCTTTTATTCATTTTCGTGTTTACGGCTCTTCCTGGTCTTCCACTGAGCGGCACGTGGTATTCTACGGTGAACCAGCTACGTAGGAGTTTGATGCACCCGTGTCTTTATTATTAATTCAAAGAGTTTCGATTGAATGGGCCATACGCTTCCGCGAATGAGACGAGTTCGCGACGACGTTCTCGAGAGTCCCACGGACAAACGTTCGGGCGTTCCCCTTATGGTCTTTACACTTTCCGTAGGAATCGAGCAGATCGATCCGCTCGAGTAGTATTATTACATCTCCATGTCCCTTTCCCGCCATTAACGTGGTCGAATAGAGCAATCGCTTCGATTCTGTCCAGAGCCTAGGAGTTATTAAAGATATTCTTGCCCACTAATCTATCAATCAAGGAAGACTCATTTTAAGTTGCGAATGCAAAGTCTGAAATAAGGCTGTTTAAACTGACCACTTCGACCCAAAAGTTACGTGGCCGTTTATTGCTAATCGTTAATGTTCATTGGAACCTCGTGATATTAGTTTTCTGTGAGGTTCGAAATCTTATTAAGAGAATACCCTCGTCCTCAGGGAGCTGTAACTTCAGTATGGGTTTAGCGACCTCGGGGTACCCTGGCTAGATGAGGACCAGTGGGCTCCAATGGACGTGTACCAAGGTAAGACTAACGTAAATGTGACCTTCCTTAACGCCATAAAACAAAAAGTTGAGAAATGCGATCAAAATGGCCTCTAAAATAAATTATTTCTTACTCAATGGACAAAAAAATGTTGTTGTTTAATGGTGTTAATCTTTATTCAGGAAAGTTATTATAAATATAGAAAGTTGACTATACCAAGTGCATCGATACTTAAATTTAAGATTTTTCAAAAAGTGAAGTTAATCGATTTGTGTAGTGAACGGGTCAATTAAGGAGTTATGTGAGGCAAAGTAATGTCAAGAATAGACATAATTGTATTGTGATGTGTGGATTTAGTGCTGTAATTTAAGTGATAGACAGTTTTCTGAGTTACATGCAAAATTTTACGATGCAGCCCATAAATTAGTGAATATAATCAGAGTGTATATAGTGCATAATTGTGCTATGATAAATAAAGTCTTTCTTTTATCTATTCACCCTTTTACCTTAACACTGAGACAGCATTTTCTCGTATATCATTAGGAATTTCTGTAAACAGATATAATACCGCAAAGCTAATATTCTCTTTGAAAGAGACCCTCCAGTGACTACAACTGCAAAGGTCGCCTGGGATTTTTACCGAGAGCGTCAACGAACTACGACCAGCTATATAATTTTCCACGGTGTATTTCGATCTAGTCGCGCATTTTTAATCTCGAAGCTCAGGTGACAGGTATGGATTCTTGACACTCGGCGTTAAGAAAGGTCAGGTATAGTCGTGGAGTCTCGACGAACCAGAGGTTGACGAACCGATGTTTTCGCACGATTGCAGCCTCTTTTGGTTTCCCAGTTTGACACGACTCGCGTCGCCTTTGCGATTATTGGAAAAATCTCTTTCGTCCGCGATCCTTCGAAGCCGCTGTTAGGTGAAAGATTGGCGATCCGCCAAATCGGAGTTCGATCCGGTTTCTGCACCGTCGGAATGGCGCTGTGCATCCAGACAGATATGTCTTCGTGATATATTCCTGTCCAACGGACGTCTGGAAAAATGGAAACAGATGTGTTCCCTCGGCGAACCGATCTTGACGCAATCATATCTGCCGAAGTCTGCTCGGGGCAACAAAACAGCAACGTGCTAAACAGTAACTGTCAAAGTTGCGGAAAGACTACTTTACTTCACTTTTGAATTGCAAACGTGTAAAGGGTTGTCGTAAGAACTACGTGTTCTATACTGAATCGAGTGCTTGCAATATTAATGTTTCTTGGAAGTTTATGAACTGGTAGCGGCGTTCACTTAGGTTTTCTAGTATCAGGTTTATGGACAACGTTCCTATTTCTCAAAGAACCAACGAATTCGTGTTAGTACATGATGCAATTTTAGAAATTGTACAATTGCTATTTATTTTATATGCCAAATATATGCGTAACACCCCGATTTTATCTACCGTTATTTTCAATGATTAATAAATTAATATGGTTTCATTAAAAAAAAAAAAATTATCTTAGTGAATAGAAATGTAATAAAAATTCTACGAATTGGTACGGTTAATCAATCTTACTATAAAAATATAAAGATTATAAACAGGAGGAAATTTGGAAACATTTTAAGCATCGAGGGACAAAATTATTTCTCATTGGTGGGAACCCACCCCTTCGAAAGAATGCAAATTTTTCTTTCTCATGAAATATCTTCACAACAGTGACAGATATAAAAACAAATAGCTTAAACAATAGTTGTATCTTTCTTTTGTATCTGCAAAACTGCACAAGTGATTGCCAACAAATCCAGGCTTTTTTTAAAGTTAACTCTGTCTGCAATCCTTACATCTACACAAGAATGCATTTTATATTAGCTCTTTATATTTATGTGAACAGTTCATTTGCCTTATTCGAGATATTGGATTTCACGATTTTCAGGCAATATTGCAGACGTCTAAATGCCATGGCAATTAATGCGCAACCCCGTATGTAGGTTACATCGACGCGGTCTCATTTAATACAAATTATTTAACAGACTACCACCGTCGAACTAATTTTACATATCATTTTAAAGCCGGTCCCCGATAAAGGTTGAACGAAGCACCGAACGACAGGAAGATCAATATGTTTTGCCGATAAATGCATCGTTCTAAAACTCTAAATTCGTTCCTTCAGTAATTGAGAAACTGACGTCGACGTTATTGAAATAAATTAATGAAGAAACTGGAATACTGGTTAGAAGCGTGTAAAGGATTCCATTCTAAAATGTAATGAATTGAAAATCGACATAAAAAGAGGAGAAGTTGCCAAATCTTCTGTCATAAAATTAAAATTTTTATAGAAATTCCGATCTGCTGAATGATATACTATTTTATAATACTATTATACTATCACAGTTACTAATCTACAGTAACTGTGTAGACATGTACTTCTCATCTATTATTCAAATCAAACTTTTCCAATCTCTGCTGTAGACACAGTGGGTACATTGCTATTTCTTCGTAGATATTATGATAATATTTCTTTATATATTACATTTTTTTCGTAAATGTCTATGTACTGTTTCACGGAGCACAGTTTGGGGAAA